TTAGAGGGTAGTTGAGCGATTTTCTTCGTTGTTCTGGCTAGTCTGATAGTGTTTTATATAGGACTGCTAGCGGTTATTGTTCCATCACACTTTATTTTTTGTTTATTGTTTATTACTTTTATTTTTTCATTTTTTTTTTCAATTTTTATTATTGCCATAACTATTGTCCTTCCCACTTATTTGTTGTCACTTATGGTGTTGATCGTATTTGTATGTTTTCTGTTGTTGTTACAGATCTTTTGTCTTTGAGTCGAGGGTTTCCCGAAAACAGCCTCTCTACCCTCAGGGCTAGGGGTAAGGTCTGCGTACACTCTATCCTCCCTAGACCCCACTAATGAGATTATTACTGGATTGTTGTTGTTGTAACTTTCCTTAGATAAGTAGGTGAATCACTTTGTAATAATATTGATCTTTTTCGCTAAATGCAGAGCCTAAGATTGGACACATGTGTTTGTGCATTATGGGGCCTAAACATGATGTTTTGGAGCAAGGTGCTTCAGCAGAAAATGTAGAAAACGAGAAGACTAATTATGGAGAAAAATTTAAAGACAAATACCAACTTTAATATTAGGACATTTGTTGTCTACTTTGAAAACTACTATTAGACATCTTAGTTTTAGTGATATCGGACTGAAAGGAATTAGATTTCTTTGCTGGTTGATCTAGTTATCTCATTTGACATGTGTTTGTAAAACCATAAATTTATTTGCACTTTATTCCAGTTTTGTATCTCTCTGGTATGTGTGATGTATTTGTCTGAATATTATAAGTTTTACCTGCAAAGCATGAGAAGAGTACATTATATATCGCTTTGATATTTTATTGGTACAAGTTGTCTGAAATACTTTGAATTATGTACTTTTTTTTGGTTCCATAATAACAGAGTTATATCACTGTAGTAGCTATGTAAAAGGCATTTAGTTAATGAGGAGGGGATGTTTGGGTTATATTGGACGGGTTGGGCTATGACTAGTTATTTTATGGGAAATTTTCGTTTCTATACCATATAGGAAACTATATTACCAAATATGTTCATAGTTTGCATATTACCCTTCATGCTAATAGTATTTCTACATAATATATACAATGCATTAAATAAGGAATCATTATAACTGTAGGATTCCTTATTTAGGCGTGCTAAAAAGGGGAATTAAATATTTTCCAGATCTTCCAACGCAAATCACGCACGTTACAAAATTTTCGTACTCTGTTTTTTGCGCTAAACTCTATTTCAACATTTTTTCTGATTTCACAAATCAAAAACGACTAAATCTTCTACAATTCTTCTATATCAAACACAATTATGTCCAAATTTCAGTAATACAAAGCAAAGGAAAAGAGAGCAGCAATTCCACCATTGACAACCATTAAAAAGCTTTGAAGCTTTAAATTCAAATTTGGATTTTCAAAAATCAATTTGTTTGGATTGGGTGTTGTTGCAAATAATTGGGAATATGGTTTGGAGTTTATATCTCAATTTTGAGGGGTTTTGGTGAAGATTAAACTTGGTTTTGGCTGAATTTCGAATTAAAACTCGAAGAAGAAGAAGACGACATGACATACATTATATTGTAGAAATTGTAGAAAAATTATATTCCGTTGTTTATTTATTTTTCTTTTATTCATTTAATTATTGTATGAAAGTTGAACAACATTGTAAAAAAGTTATATTTAAGTGGTATTATATTGTAGTTGTATATAACTTAGTAGAAATAATGTATGAAAATTATAGATAATTTGTAGATAAGGTGTATAATATATAATTAATTGTATGAAAATTATTTTTACTATGTATAAATCAGATACAAAATATACAAAAGACATATTGTATAAATTTTGTATAAAATTTGTATGTAAGTTTTATGTTATTGTAGTTGTATTTCACTGTGTGGAAATAATGTGTGAAAGTTGTAGAAAATTATAGATAAGTTGTATTCCTCTATAACGGGAGATGTTGGAATATCAAGTAACTTTAGTGTTCCAGACGAACATGCATGAAAATAAAGATAATTCTGTTATGAACAGTTTGTAGAAAATTTGTAGATAATTTGTAGAAACATTGAAATTCTGTATTTTCATATTAATTTTTCAAATGATATGCAGTTTTATTGTAGAATAAATGTAGAAAATAAGCAATTGTGAGTCTTATTTGACTCATTCCTCATATTCAACCTATTCTACAAATTCACGCCTCTTTAAATACAATACAACCATACTTTCCTGATGTCAAGACCCGGATTTTCCACCCTCGGGAGTCGTGATGGCGCCTACTCGTAGTAGCTAGGCAAGCCATTTTAATTACTTTTCCATTACTAAACAAATCTTGTTTTTTAACAATTTATGGCAACAATATAAAACAACAAAATTAAATAATAGCGGAAGTCTTAATTATAGAAACTGGATACAACACGGATTAGTCAATATAAGCCTCTACCCAAGACTGGTGTTACAATACTCACGAACTGCTAAGAATTTCTAAATACAAGGGTCTGAAAGAACACATAAGCTGTTTGTCTCAAATACAAGGAGGCAACAGTCTAAAAGAGAGAATAAGAGAGAGACGTCGGGCCTGCGGACGCCTGCAAGGCTACCTCGGGTCTCACGATACTGAAAGCCTGCTCCCGTGCTAATGCTGCTGCTGCTGCTCGAAACCTGGGCCTGCGCAAAAAAATGCACAGAGTGTAGCATCAGCACAACCGACCCCATGTGGTGGTAAGTGTCTAGCCTAACCCCGGCGAAGTAGTGGCGAGGCTAGACTGGACTATCGCATAAACCTGTACAATTATTTATATATATATATATATATATATATATATATATATATATATATATATATATATATATATATATATAGCGGAATCGAAAATACAAATCAAGTAAACAATATGGGAGGGGAAGCATACTGTGGGGATATAACAATTTCANTCTGCACAAGTTAGACTCCAAAACAGACGAAGTGAAATAACAAGCTCCCAATCAAAAACTTTTAACACAAAAACACAAAAGCTCAAAAATAAAAAAACAACAATCTACAATTGCTGCAATATAATGTATGTCATGTCTTCTTCTTCTTCTTCTTCGAGTTTCAATCTGAAATTCATCCAAAACCAAGTCTAAATCTTCACCAAAACCCCTCAAAATTGAGATATAAACTCCAAACCATATTCCCAATTATTTACAACAACACCCAATCCAAACAAATAACGATTTTTGAAAACCCAAATTTGAATTCAAAGCTTCAAAGCTTTTTAATGGCTGTCAATGGTGGAATTGCTGCTCTTTTGTCTCTTTGAAGGTTTGTTCTTCTTCATTGAGAAAATTTGAAGCTGAAGGTAAATGTGTGTATGAACTTTGAAGATTTGACTTCAATTTTGACTGGTTGTAGAAGAAAAAGCTTGAAATTGGACGTTAATGGAAGGGTGTTACATATGTTTCTCTGGTTTTAGCAGAGGGAATAATGGGTTTGAAATGTGGGTGTGGGGAGATACGTGGGTGAGGGTGTGGGTTTGGGAGAGAGAAACGTGGGGGGTGGGGATTTGGAGGAATATACGGTAACGTTAATTAAAGAGTGATATACGGTACATTAATTGTACAGTTAAAACACATTATGGTATAGAATTGATAATTAGGTATACTAAATGTAATTAAATCAAACCTTAAACATTGAGGGTAATATAGTTTCCTATATGGAATAGGAATGTAAAAATTCCTTATTTTATACATCTTGACCCAACCCATATTGACCCAAACAAACATTGAGCGGGTTGGGTTTTGACACGTTTGTTGATTTGATCCGTTTTGACTCGCCCAAATTTGACACAACTCACCCATTTGCCACCTCTAACTTAAATAAAAACTAATCAAGGTTTGATAGCCTTTTAAGGAAAATGTACAAAATTCTAAAAGATACTAGTTAGTTTTGGCAATTAGCAAACTTTCGTTAAATCGGATTGTGTACGGATAAAATTGGGGGCGAAGTTCCCCCGATTCTCCGGTGAGAGAACGAAGGGGAAGCACGGATCGACGAAATTATAATTGAGGTCGGGAACCCCTCATATCGAGAAGGAAGAATGAACAATGTATTAGAGATCGGACACGGTAAGACGACGTACCCCGGACCAAGTATGACTTATGTACCTCGGGAGACATGGTGAACAGTTATGCATGACGTATAGGGGGCCGTAATATTCGCCCTCAACCGAATTATGGCGCGAATCCCATTTGGTATTCATTATAGATCAACAATTATCGGAAAAACAAGATTTTTACTTTTTCTAGACTTGTACTTGGATTGAAATTCTCCTACTATATAAAGGAATTTTTTTTTCTCTTCTAGCTATTGTTCAAGGCATTACACACTTAGTTCTTTTCTACACGTGTGACCGAGCTTGTACTGAGGGTCCGATCGAGGATGAGCTCTACTGATCAATTTAAGATCAGGCTTAGTCATTACATTGCGATTGGTTTGATCGTTTATTTTGTCTTTAATTCATCTATCTGTTATTCTTACTTATTCGTGTTAAATTAAACCACGTATCCTTTAAACCGCGTACAAATATAATTGAGAAACGGTGATAATATAATTTATAATATAGTATATATAAAGAAAATCCATATAAATTAAGATATAGTAAAAGGGCTAGACAGCCCAATAAAAGATTAGCAGATTGTGAGTGAGAACCTGGCTGAATCTGCACGATGACTTGAAGCAATAAAAGGGAAGCAACCACAATAACTGGAAGCCTATAACAGGGAATGGAAGAACTTGCATGTTTATCTTCTTCTTTTTTTTAGCTAAAGTTTAGCAGTCTAGAATCTCCCTTTTCTATTTTCCCTTTTCTTTTGTCCTGTTTTCCCTAAGTTGTGGATTGCAAGATTGTAATTTCTGCTGCTTCAGTTGATATTAAGCTCCATTATTACAAACATTTGAATCAAAATAAATCGTTTCAAGAAAGAAATGCTTTAACACTAATTAAATCATCAGGTTTTACTTCATCAAAGATCACAAAAATCAGCTTTAGAAGGAGAACATTCTTGACAAAAAAGGAAAAGGGAAAACCCTTAGTCAGTCAAGAAAATAAACAGATTGAAAGTTTAAGTTAATTAGAATCTAAACACACACACTCTAGGCATACACAGAACTTTAACAGCTGATGTTTTCACAACTAAGATTAAGTTTAAAGATTTAAGTTATATACTATGTTATAATATGTCAATTAGTATCATTTAACAACTCATACTTACATAAGAATTTTTACGCCATTGTGCATATAACTTAAACTCTTGACATAAAAGTTCTAAATCTTCACCCAGTTAACATACTTCGAAACCAAGAAGCCAGAAGCTATAATCATTCAATTAACAATATCAAACCAAATCTTCACCCAGAATCTTCAAGGAGCAGCAGCGGCAACATTCAAATGCTTTGCAATCTCAAAAGAAACAAATGCATCAACACAAGCATACTTAATTTGATCCAAACTCAACCATTCACTGTCCCACCTACCCATAGTAATATGTCTAGGCTTCTCAATCTCTCTTCCAAGAACAACATTGCACAGCTCCTTCAACCCAGCAGTTTTCAAATTACTCATCTCATATGCATCAGCTGCCAAAGCTCTCAAATCCACCATATTACTCACGCTAAGATCGTGATCTTCCACCAACTTCTCCACATCGTTCTCAACTCCAACCCCAACAAACGTGTAGTCTCCGTTGGACAGAAAACTAACGAGGGAATCTGGAATTGAACTGCAGTAGAGGAGTTGGAATATGAGGCAGCGGCGATCGACGCAGAGCTGGAGAGTTGCAACTTTGAATTGCTGGTTGCGGTGAAAACTGGGCCGCCACTCGACGTCAAGTCCAACGATAAGATGGCGGCGGTCGTGGAGAGAGGATTCGGTTTCGGAGATCCACTGAGTGACGATTTCCGGATCGGAAGTGACCGTTGTTTTGATTGTGTCGCTGTGGAAGTAAACGTCAAAGAGGTCGTAGCGGTTGTCTTGCTCCTCGTTGTCTACAATGCGGAAGGTAGTCATGGCGGCTGCTTTCAATGGAGGGTGAAATGTTGTTGAAAAGGGATTCGCCGTAAATAGAGAAGGGTTTTGTAAAAAGCGGAGCAATTGAAACGAAAAACGTACTGTTCGTTGGACCTTGGGGAAATTAGGGAGTCCGGAATCAAAATGTAGTTCATTTAGACTCAAAATATACAAATAGGTGGGAAAAAAAAAGTTACCATACTATATATAACGCCATAATACCTGGCGCTATATATTAACGGTAACTGCACTGTTAATGTATAGCACCGGGTTTTATGGCGTTATACTGACACAACTGGTATAGTGCCATAAAACCTGGCGTTATACCCTCCGTTAATGTATAGAGCCAGGTTTTATGGCGTTATACTGACGCAACTGGTATAGCGCCATAAAACCTGGCGTTATATCCTTTTTCCCTAGCCCACAGAGTTCAATAGTGCCATAAAACCTGGCGTACCCTCCATTCCTCCAATAGGAATACTTTGAAGTTCCTATGCGGCGCATCACCTTACATTGTGAAAACGCTTTTTGCAACTTGTGGGCCCCATTGATCTATTTTGACACACCAGCACATCAATATTCTTCCTTTGCGTTAGAATATGTGAGTGCCACATTTTTGTAAGATGGTTATATTTATTAATAGCCAAAAAATTGAAATAAAAAAACATTACTTCATGACATATTTCTTTTGTGAGCCAATTCTTTGCCAAAATTTTTTTTTACGTATATTGAAACTGCACTCCTTTTGCCAACTATTTTCACGTATATCGCAATACTGCACTCCACTCCTTTTTTATTTATTTATGTATTTTTAAGTTTGATTAGGTATAACTTATATATATCCATAATTGTAAGGATAACATACTGCATCAGATTAAATCTCAATATTACAGTCTTACAAGCATTGGCGAAGCCAGAATTTTTTTTAAGGGTGTCCAAACTTAAAAGAAGTTAAAAAAAAAACTCGAGAAATGGTGTTCAATACATGTTTATACCTTTAAAACCTAATATTTTACCTATATATACAGTATAATTTTCTGACGAAGGGTGGTCAAGTGACCATCCTTTCCAGAGTGTAGCTTCGCCCATGCTTACAAGTTAGTTTATTTAAAGCCAAATTAAATTCAAATTATGTAACAAAACTTATACAAATTTACGTAGCATTTTTTAGGAAAAACTGATGGAGTTATAAAGATTAAAAAAGGAAATAAAAAAGGTTAAAATATATGCGTTAGTGTTCAATTTAAAACCAAATTAACTTTTAATGGGTTATTCTCATTAATTTAAAATACAACACAAACTCCTAAATATGCTCTAAAGAATAACTTTTAATTAGATTATCTAATATGGTAAATGATTGCAAGTAAAGAAATTATGAAGAACTAAAATTTTATCCTACAAAACTACATGACCAACCCGACAAATGAGGTGAGAACGTGCATGGTTAGTTACTTGATTAATATTAATGAAGTGTAGATGCTTGGATATTATGCGAAATTTGTAGTGCTTTTAGACCAAATTTTTTGCAAATTGGAGTATATTTCAAGGACAATAGCAAATGTATCACAGCTTTACAATCTTATAATTTTTAACTTTTAATTGGAGCATAGACGGTTGGTAGATACTCTTGATAACTTTGTATTTTTTTTTATAAGGTTATCCAACTATCTATGCAGATTGATCTTTACGCTTTAAAGTCTGAATTTACACCGTATAAAATGTGAATAGTGTAAGACTAAATTCTCTTATTCTTATAAAAATAATTCTTTCGGTATTCTTTGTACTCCCTATGGTTCTTTTTTTGATCTTGACCTGTTAAATATTTGACTTTTGATTCAACAATTATGTATTTTATATATATATATATATATATATATATATATATATATATATATATATATTGGAGAGTTGATAACTCAGGAAGAAATNATTCCTATGCCACATAGGAAACCTTATTACCCTCAATGTTTAAGGTTTGACTTAATTACACTTAGTATACCAAATTACCAATTCTATACCATAGTGTATTTTAAGGGTACAATTAATGCAGCGTATATCCCTCCTTAATTCAAGGTACCGTATCTCCCTAAGATCATACCCGTGGCTAGCCAACTGATAGCTCATCTGCTTCAATTAATGGTAAACTGGAGCTATTTGTCAGAAAGATTTTGTGATGAGATCACGTGATGGTGTTAGGATTTGGTGTTTTTAGGTGAGCAACTCTAGTGTTCAGTTCTTTGCTTTTGAGAAGGACTCAGAAGCTCATGCAACTTGTACGTTCTTATAAAATGGATATTTCTATAACGGTACTATCAACTTGTACAATGAAGAATAATAATATTACGAAGTACCATTTACCAATTCTCGACGTAATAATTAAGAAAAATAAAAAAAAGTGATTTTCGACTTATTAATCGAGTTCTCTCAACGAAACCAAATTTCAAATAGTAAAATAGTGAATTAGTTTCATTTCCAACAGGACACGTCCATACACGACATATGCCATCAATTTCATAGTCCCAATTCTCAAACAATATCAAATGCTATAATCTATTGCAATATTTCTTATTTTTATCACAATAATTGCGTTTTTTAGAAGATTTAGTAGAAGTTTTAGTCGTTTTGGATTTGTGAAAACAGAAAATAATGCATCTACAATCAGAATACAAATAATCTACAATTCATCTACAAAATATCTACAAACTGGGTATATTGAATTTTAATATCCCAATTCCCATTCGATTGTAGTTTAATTGGGATTTTCGACATAATTGCGTTTTTTGCAGAAGATTTGTAGAAGTTTTAGTCGTTTTTTATTTGTGAAAACAGAAAACAAAGCATCTACAATTAGAATACAAATAATCTACAATTTATCTACAAAATATCTACAAACTGGGTACATTGAATTTTTATATCCCAATTCCCATTCAATTGTAGCATAATTGTGATTTTTGACATAATTGTATTTTTTCAGAAGATTTGTAGAAGTTTTAGCCGTTTTTTATTTGTGAAAACAGAAAATAAAGCATCTACAATCAGAATACAAATAATCTACAATTTATCTACAATTTCTGCAATATGTCTTCTTCTTCTTCTTTTTCGAGTTTCAATCTGAAATTAAGTCAAAACCAAGTCTAATCTTCACCAAAACCCCTCAAAATTGAGATATAAACTCCAAACCATATTCCCGATTATTTTCAACAACACCTAATCCAAACAAATAATGATTTTTGAAAACCCAAATTTGAATTCAAAGCTTTCAAACTTTTTAATGGCTGTCAATGGTGGAAAATATCTGGAAGAATATTTACTTCCATAATTGTAGCGCGCCTAAATAGGAATATCTGGAAGAATATTTAGTTCTAGATTTGTAGCGCGCCTAATTAGGAAGGAATCAGATCTTAATAATTGGTATTTAATGAATGATATATATTTTGTAGAATAACTGTGAACATGGCGGGTAAATATGAAACTATGCACATTTTTGGTAATAAGGTTTCATATATGGTATAGGAAGGAAAAAGTCTAACTCGATCTTTAATTCTATTCCATATCTTCTTCATAAGACTCATTTTTAGGATTATTTTAATATCACGCTCAAATCACATATTTTATCCACATATGTACTTAATAAACTTATTTATCCATGAAATTTGTACTGTTATAAGTGAACTTCAAGATATTATATTGTATGGGTCGAAATCTGACCACACGTGGATCAACACTAAAAGGAATGGCGAGGGGCCGACTAAGTCGTGGTCATATTCGTAAGACATCATAACGACGAGTATGTCGACAGCTGCCGGGATCGAACTATCAGAAAACTTGTACGGTGAAGCATATGTCGTGACATTTAAGGGGAACGACCCAACGTACAATCAACAGATTAAGGTATTCTGGCTAAGAACCGAAAGGGAATACTTATTATATATATAGGAGGAAGAGAACAAGATAGGGGGAGGGGGCTCTGCTTCAGAAAAAAGAGGAGAAGAATCGGAGAAGGCTGCATGAGAAAAATAAGAGAAGTTTCGGATCTTATTGACTAATCTTTATAATCATCTTTCTTGAATCAATAAAGATAGATCCCGCAGCTGTTAATGGCATTCCTTCTTTTCCTTCTTTATTCTTACATTATGGAACAGTACATCAAGAACGTAAGCATGTCATTTATGTTCCATATCTCTTTTAAATCTTAAAAGTTCATGAGCTTGACTATATCTTATTCTCTTATTCAATGTGTTTTGATCTAGAGTTAATTATCCTTGGCTAGGATTTATCCTCTATTTTCTTATTAATTAGTTTAACAAAAAGCTTAACACTTTTTGGTCAAACAATTTGGCGCCGTCTGTGGGGATTTTCTAGCAAAAATCTTAGTTCCCTCTAGATCTAAAGCTAACGAGAGTTTTACTTCCCGGTTCTCGTAGCCTCACCCTCTCAGTATAAGTACCAACTTGAGAAAGTTGTAGGCAAGCTTTTGGAAATAACCAAACCAATCAGGGTCAGATCTCTACATGAAATCGAAATTATGTCTGATATCTATGCAAAACCCACACCTCGCCTGTAGCGATGGGTTTTGGCACATCGTGTGAGTACTCAAAGTGGGATTATGGCCACTACACACTTAGCACATCTGAAACCCTATTTTCCGTGTTAACGTTATGCTTCCACCTCTTAGGAAGGGACGATAGCCTACTTTATGATTCTTTGAAATAACCAGCTTATCTTGCTTTATTTTTTGTACCTGTACGCACGGTGTAATTTATGTATAGAGTATAACACGTTTCCCTTATTGTTTGCACATATCGGATCAGGATTCGGGCTCGAGATCCCTACGGGCAAGGTAAGTTCAGCCCATAAGAAGCCTAGACGTTACTAACGGCGAAGCCGAACACGGGGCTGCCAGATCTGAAACCGCCATTTGAGTACGGGATGAAACGGGTCGCCCTACAGTGCCCTTCCCCCCTCGCCGACTTACCAGGTCAAGGTAACAGGCAATTTCGTTTGGGTTTACCTTGTTATTTTTTCTTTTTTTGGATTTGGATAGGAACACGAGCATTCTCACAAGTGCACGAACAAGGAACAAACGCCACTGAACGCACCAAGTAAAACCCTCCGCGCCATACCATACTGCGAAT